ATCAAAATACTAATTTCATTGTTTGCCTAAGATTTCCAAATTTTCTTCTTACTGCCTCTACTTCAATTTTTTAGCCTCTTATCGGACTATAAATATTTAATCACAGACCTGCTTATGTTTTATTGTTATTCTTGGTTTTGGGTTGGCGGCTGCTGATAGCGCTTAGCATAGGTGGACAAAGATTTTTTTTTTTTGGTTGGTTAGATAATGGTCACAAGGGTACTGCAACCCGGGGCGTATGAGTAATTTGTTGTATCTAAAATAGTTTGGGTCTAGTCTTTTGGTTTTAGTTTAATTATGTCAAGTGTTTCGACATGAAATTAAAATGTTGTTGGCACTCCAAGCTGGAAAGTTGGGTGGGTTAAATGAATTTGTCATCCGTCGAGTGTCGAATTCTTTAGATATGATAAGGCCAGGCAGAAATTTTGTGGTAATTATTGGTGTTTAATTAAAATACTGATAGGCCTTAGCAGTTAGTTGCTGACTTAGTTCACTGATTTATGTTAGCTAACTTTAAGATTTTCCCGCTTAACAACTTTAGAGTTTCCCTGAAACTTGAACTCAACTTTAAGCCTTCATTCTGTCTGTCTGCCTGTCTGTCTTCCACACAATAATTGTGTGTAATTAACTTGCCATTTGATTGAAATTATACCTCACACAGACACACACACGCATGCACACTCTCATTAACACACTCCTTCATAGGTGGAAAATTCTTAGTAAAGCAATTTGCCTGCCAAAAGTGATGGTTCTAGCAAAGGGCGGGCAGTCAGCCATATTGAAACGTTCTGCCAGGAGTCCTTTGCACCTCCAACACCTCCTTTAATTAAAAATTCAACCACCCCTTCCCGCCCGCTTTTGGCGAACAAAATGGCTTACACACATGAACACACATTCTGCCACAGCTTGAGCAAATTTGAAAAACAATTAAATGCCATGCGCGCAATTAAATACACAAAAGGTGGCAACAGCAAAATGTGGGAGTAAATTCTAGTAGCTGGGTGTCTGTGTGGGGTAAAAACCAAGGGAAAAAGGGTGGAGCAGCTGCTGCTCAAGTGGCAAACACTTACACACTCTCAGAGTTGGAGGGGGGTTGTTGTTATATACCGTTAATTAAGCAGCCTGCTAACAGAAATCCAATGCCAAAAGAGTCTTCAGACTCGCACAGAGAGAATTCCGGCCGGAGGGCCCTTGTGGCTAAAACCAAAACCTAAACCAAAAACCAAAAACAACAACAACAAACATGACACAAACAGACAAACAAAAGCTTTTGTGTGTGTGTGTGTTGTCCCAGAACACACCAACAACAATAACAACAACAACAGCGCAAATCCATCAAAACAAACAGCCAGGAGGGATTGTTCCGAGGATTGCGATGGGGAGCTTGGGCCTGGTCTCAACTTCCACTCGCTGCCATTCACTTTTCCACATCCCTCTGCCGAAAAAATCCGGCGAAACCAGAAACCGCATGGCTAAACTTTCATTCGCAGCGGCCGTGTAAAAAGGATTTAATTATTTGCTCTAAGGATATGCTCATCAAATGGGGTAGAGAATTTGTTCCTGAGTGTGTTTGCTGACAAATAGAAAAAATATGCTTCACGTCCACTTGGCAGGGCGTTTTGGTAAACAGAAATCAAACCAAATAGCAGGAAAAGCTACACAGAGGGAAAATATTGGTTCAACTTTGATTTGTTGAAAGAATTTTATGGCTTAGCTAAGCTCCCTGCAAGCTGTAAGGCCACATTGCGAAACAGTGTGGTCAGCTGGTTAAAGCAAGCAGCATTTCTTTTCGTATGAAATTTTCTTTTCAGTTTATGAATTTTTGCTTATTTTTTCAACTAATACCTTTTCCCAGCTTAGCTCTGTAGTTTGTATTTTTAATTGTGAAATCAGCCCGAAGCGTAGGCCTAATCCCGGACTCAAACTCAGATTCGGATTGGAATTTAGCCGCGGGTTAGGCTCGGACTACTTACCCTTAGGAACCCTCTCCCTCTCTCTCTGTCGAATGTCAAAAGCAGGATTAACGCCGCCGGGCAATTACAGGAAAAGGGAGAGAAATCTCTGCTCTAGTGCCACGCCTATTTTGTGAAAAGGGGGAAAAATAAAAACTTCCCACGCAACAGAAAACAGAATTACGAACCGTAATTTGATTGTTTTGCTTTAGTTTTTCCAGGGGGAAGGGAGAGAACTTAAGTTCGAGAGAGCTGTTGATTGTAGTGATTAACCGGCCAGGAGCTGTGACAGAGATTTTTACCAAATTACAGGGCTCTATGAAAATTGCATGTTTTGACTTTTGGGTGGAACGCACAGAACGACACGCGTCGATATTTTGTGTTCGACGAGGATGGCGACGCTGCCTGCACTGGCTACGCCCCATCTTTCTCACTAGCAATTATCTCCCGCAGCTGAGCCGACTTAGTCAAGTCACTTGGAAAGTTCTCAGACTGACCGCAAGTCAAACTTCTCGCCAGCGTAATGAAGTGAGCGAAAACGAAAACAATTGAGCAAAAGATCTTCTATACTTTAGCAATTTGTGTGATGTATTACAGTGGGGGAAATATCTTACAACTTAAAACTACATCTCATTACGAAAAACCTGACTTTGGTTAGACTGCATGGTCACACTGAGCTTTGCTGGCTTAAACAGTGAGACCAATCGGATTTAGTAAGCAAAACAAAAGCCAAACTTCTTTTCAGTGTTCCTGGACTTGGGTCGTAACTTTTTTTATGACTCACTTGGCCCTAGAAATTTGCGGTTGCTGTCCCACGCCGCCCTTCCACTTTTCCCGCTCACCCAATTGTCGCTGCTCCACTCCAGAAATCATCAAAAATTTAGCAAGAAGAGGTGGTTGGGGGCAGGCGTAGAGGGCATTAAATAAATAATTTAGCTAAGGCAGGTAAACGAAAATTGTTTCTTGATCATTTTAATGCACCCAAAGGGCCGCTCCCGCCCAAAAGCGGGCAGAAAAAGTTTTCACGATGAGGAAGCATTACGTGACGTGGAAATGGAATTGGGGTTAGAGGTGGGGTTCAGCTTGTCCCCTTACCCCCTCTCTCTCGTTTCACTTTCATTAATATTAAAAGCAGTCCCCAACGACGCTCATCATTTGAATAAAAACCGATATTTGTTAATAATTGTCGCAGGACATGCAAAAGGAATTCGATAGCTTAATTTAGTGGAGCGGTCGTGTCGGTGGGCCGTTGGCTAATTGAAAATGTAATTAAGGCACGCATCGTTGGCTGGGAGTAGGATGGATCCTGTTCAAGGAGCACGCCAGGCCGCCTTTTTGGCCAACACTCGGACACTCACTCAGCTCCCAGTAATTGGAGACACCTTCACAGGGCTCAAAGGCCGACAAATATTAAGGCAAAAAAAAAATGAAACAGAACCCTGGCAAAGTGTGCGGCAAGTGTGAAAGATGCGAACAAGTCCAGTAAGAAGACGACGCGGCCCAGACTTGACCCACCGTCAAGCCTATCAAATTTCACCGGCTCTTTGGTAAAGTTGTTGTTGTTGCTCTGTCTTAGCCAGGTTTATAGACATTTTATTTGATTTCGGCTAGCTAATTAAATAGTTTCATTTTAGCCGTCGGCCAATGGTCTAAAGTCGCTGTGCTTTGTCTTTGCTTTATAAGCCATAAAGGCAACGACCAACGGCAATTGCTACAATTGCAGGTGGTGGCTCACGGGGCCGGCTTTATCGCGTACCGTTTATGGTGGAAATTGTTTATGCGACTATCAAGAGACACCTTATGGCTAATAAAGTGGAGGTATGGGTTTGGAGTGCTTAAAATGCAGACGGCGTTGTCTAATTATTAATAGATTTGCGGCCGCGAGTGTGTTTGAAATGGAAAGTAAGGAAAAAAAAAAAAGAGGGAAGCCCAGGAACTTGGCTAAGTCTATTTAAGCTAAACGTAGTTTATCTAATGCTAAGCAAACCAAAGTTCATTGCTCCTCTTTCTAAGCTCTTTCTAACAAATCAAAATTTCAATCATAACTGGCCACAAATTGTCTATAGCAGGGCGCTATTAATATGCGATTTAACAAATATTTAACGAAAACACATGCCCGATGTGACCTGAATGTGAAAGAGGGTTATATATATATATATATATATATTTTATTGTATTCGAAAGTCAAGAATTTTTATGAGCTTGGGAAAATAATAATTTTATGGCTAAAAATTGTAGCTTGCACGTGAACGAAATTAATGCGAGAATCGTCGTTTTGTATATTTTTGTTATTAGCAGAATTTAAATTGGTCTTCGATCGATTTCGATCGTTGCTATATACCCGGGACATTGACATTTTTGGTTTCTGCATAAGTTTTTCCCCTGTTTTTGTTTTTTTTTTACTTAAACAACGTTTAATATGCCATCGTTGTCGCTGGCCTGTTGTCCATTGCCGATGACGATGTTGCTGCTGCTGCTGATGTTGGTGATGATGGAGATGGAGATGGAGACGAGTTGATTCTACTCCTAGTTAGAAGACGGCCAGATCGCCAGAGCCAGTCGCTGCATATTAATTTGATAACTTATATATATATATATATATCTACTAGCTATATTTATTTCTGCACACGATGTTGTCTGCTGGCTTGTCTCGTTTCGGTTTGGTTTTGTATTTTGCTCTAGGCCTAGGCCACGACAATCTTGAACATTTGTTTGTCCACAATATGGCCAGGCCATGGCACTTTTGACAACTTGACAGTCGTGCAGACAGTTTGCTGGGGCCTTAAAGGGTGTGCCGGAGGGGGTGGTAAAGTTTTATAGTCAGGATAGGAGACGGAAGAAGACAATGTCTGCCTTTTGGCATTGGCCATGGCCATAGCGTCTGGCTCATTTAATGGCCAGGCGTGTCAATTTAAAGCGACATTTATAACCAATTTGTAATCAATTCTAACAATCAGCATGCCTACCCTCTCCCCACTCCTACTCTCTATTTTTTATTATATTTATTAAACATTTTTTATATTTGTAATTTTGATTTTGATTTTTCAGCGGCCGCCGAGCTCATCACTGTCCTACGGCGGCGCAATGAACGATGATGCCCGATCGCCGGGCGCTGGTAGTACTCCCGGTCCACTGTCACAGCAGCCACCTGCCCTAGATACATCAGACCCTGGTAAGTGCCTTTTAAATTCTATACTAAACTTTATAACTTAAGAAAGTCTAAAGAGTATATCTGCAATTTGAATGTCTAAGAACAGTTTCCTCTAAGAATAAAAATAAAAATGGTAGTTCCTAACTTTATAGCTTTCCATTCTCTTTTTTTTTTTTGTAAGCCTTTCCATTCGAATTCCTTTGAAGTTTTTTAAGCCTTAACTTAAGCTGATTTTAGCCAGTTTCTCGATCAGTCTTAATCCCTATTGAATGTGTTACACACTTCACACCTCTTGAGGCCGCTGTCTTCCACTTTTGATTATGTTGTTTGCCTCAACTTGAAGTGCCGCCAAAGCCAAAGCTTTTCGAAGACACAACAAGTTCGCAGCGTAATCGTACAACAACTTGACAAAAGAGTAACAACAACAACAACAAGTCTACTGATGAAACAACAACAACAACATCAAAACCTACAACAACTTTTCCTAGGGACAACCCTAGACTGCCTGTCTTGGTGATCGGAACTTGGAGCTTGGAACTTGGAGCTCGCTCTGTGGACTCCACTCCACTCCAAGCTCCACTTCAGCCTGCAAAAGAGTTTTATGTGTATTTTTTTAGTACTCCCCTCTCTCTTCACCCTTCACCCTGCCCACCCTGCCTGTTGCTTTTTCAATATTTTTTCGAGTGCGACTGACTTTGCACTTGGGCGCTTCTTTTTGAAGATCTCGCGGCCTGGGCAGCAGGGAGGGGAAGTCAGGTGAATTATTTATGGTGATAGGCAAAAATAATATTTTGTTTCTGTATATTTTTTATTATTATTTCCTCGGAGAGTGCGTTGTTTTCCCCTTTGTTTGAACGGCGGCAGCGAAAAAAACAAAAGCCCTGGCCAAAACAGCACTCGAAAAAGACACTCTGGGGCCACTCGTTGTCTGCTCTCGGAGGAGAAAAATAAAAAAAATATTTTAAAAACATAAATTGAGTGGGGGAGCCCAAGGTGATAATGCAGTTTCACTGCTAGAAGAATTTGTGCAGTGAGAAAAATATTTCCGCCAAGCAAAGGAAAAGGAAAATGAGAAAACAAAGTTAAAAAGTTCTTAAATCTCATTCAAACCTAAATTATTGATATTTTTTAGTTATAAAATCTAATTTCTGATTAACTTTCTTAGAATTTCAATTATTTTTCTCTGTGTAAAAGAAAGGGGCAGTGGTTTGAAGAGAGCTCTGAAGAGTAGAAGGCGTTCCGCAGCCAATCCATTGACGTTGACGTCAAATTCGAAAAAAAACTTTAAAGCGCACCGAACAGCAACTTTAACGATTGTGTGCGAGTTTCGCCGATGTGTTTAGATATATATATATATATATATATCTTTTTTTTTTATGTGGTCGTATGTGCGCGCCATTTTGATTGATTTATCTACACGTCGCTTGACTTTGTAGACAAATTAAATTTCGGCATAGTTCGAGTTTTGCACTTCGAAGCACTCAATAGAAATTATCTACGGTTGAATAATTTCTAGCAGAGCGCAAAATTTCCATGTTAATTCTGAGGAGCGCCCAGCTTCTTCTTCTTCTCTTCTTGTTTTCCAAGCGATAAGAAAATGGCAAAGGTTCCCTCTAACAAATTTTCCCCCAGCTCTACTACTGTCTGTGGTGGGAAATTTTACGTCGCGTATTTCGGGCGTAGCAAATAGATATTTTCCACATTTTAAGTAGACAAGGCAACCGGCAGGGCGGAATGCGGTTGCCAAAGAATATACTATATATATATATATATCTGAAGCTGCAGAAATTCCAGTGCAAAAAGATGCGAGGAAAGGGAATATTTTTCTGTCGTAATTTTATGCACGAATTCGTAAAATGTTATTCAAATGGAAAATGTGATTTTTATCAATTTTGACAGGAATTTCATGCCCCAGTCGGGTGTAGCAAAAAGGGAAGGTTTGAGGAAAATTAAAGACAGTCCTTAAGGTAGAAAAATCTCTCTCTCTCTCTCTCTCTTAAGACCTTAAAGATACTTTTCTAATATATATAATTATAGGTTTATGGCCAGAAAAACACTCAACTCAGCTATAGATTTCCCTATAAAAACGTGGCAACTTAAAACTGACAGCCGCAGACCCTGTAATTATACACACACACACACACACACCCATCACCCATCACCCATCAGCTATCAGCCATCACCCTCATCAACTTCAGACTTTGGACTTCAATTAAAAAACATAAATTCCTGGCTGACGAGCTAATGCGGCGTTAAAGAGCTGTAAAGATACACAAATTTTTGTGAGAGAGCAATCTGTTTATTTACACGGCAAATCGGCAGTTCGCCAGCTCAGCAGCTCGTCAAGTGTCGCGCTTAAATGCAAATCAAAACGAGATCAGGTCAGGTCAGGGAAATAAAATTGGAAATGAAAATAAACAGAAACGGCGGGCGGTCGAGGAGGCCACCCCTTTTGCTGTAAAACCCTCATCGGCCACCACCACTGACATTGATTGAAAATGCTGCGTGACGTAAATTAACTTTCATGGGGGTTGGGCTCGGTGAAAAGTGCGTGTTATCCTTTCCGCTTGGGAAGTTCGTCAAGCCGCAAGACCCACACAATTGCCAATTGTTACAGTTTTAAAACATATCCTTGTCTCACAGGATAGGGATGTGGCAGCTTGTTTTTGTCACTACGCCGGCGGGCATTTAAATCCTACCCAAAAGGGGGAACCTTGTGTGAAGTGCACTTTTCTGTGGGCCAACTAAGGCGATTATCTTTGGCCGCTGCTCTCTGTTCTCTCTGTTGTTCTGGCTTATTTACATTGATGGTATGATGATGGGTATGTTTTAGGGGCAACAAACAACAACAACAACAGAAAGTAACAACAATAACAGGAAGCTCTAACTCTGCCTTTGTTATCTTACCACGCACAATTAGACAATTTCCATTTCCATTTGGGTTTTCCTTCAATGCCCCTCTCCCAGCGTTGACAGTTTTTCTCAGGCATTTCACCGTAGCTGGGAATTTTCGCTCTGTCTTTTGCTATGTGAAAGCATTTTACCGGCTTTACTAGGTTCACTTCCCCCTCCTTCTGCCACTTTTAATTGTCTTTTCTTTTGGTTTTGGGAAAGGAAGTAAGCGGGCTGTGGTTCTATTATGCTAATTCCTAAGGAATTTTCTAACTTAAAGATCGATGGATAGCAAATTAGATTAACTAACTTAATGATAAGACTTCTATCTTTATGACATCCCAATCATAATTCACACTTCGCCATCATTTCCCTATTCATCTTCATATTTTTCCCACAACTTTTTAACTCTTTTGTCAAAATGCTGACACGAATTTCCCAGAAGTATGAAATCAAAAACGAAAAAAAAAAATTAAATTAAAATTTTACGCATTAACGAAAACGAAGAAAAGGAACGTTTTTGAAAGGGCTGTCAGAGATTGCCCATATCTGTTCGGGGTTATCTTTTTTTTGGGTATAGGAATAGGATTCGGTAGAGGAAAGGAACCCCCTAGAATCTAAGGGGAAAACGTGCCAGACCAGCTGCTGCACGTTTTGGGATTCCGCTCGGGTGGATTCGGACTCTCGTACTCTTAAAAATTGAAACACAAATGCGATGTTTCATAATGAGGAGTGTGGAAGGGAGAGAAGGGGAAAATATAACACAGCAAGGACCAAACAGAGCTTATGTAACATTACGTCAAACGGCACAAAAGGCAATACATCTTCATCCCCTAACAAAAAAGCAACTCTGAACGACAGACGACGGGACTTGTTCTTATTTTACAATGAAAATTTACGAACTGACTGTTGCTTTTTTTCGGGTACGCATTATCATATTTCTAGGCCGACACGCCAATGAATAGAATGCGCATCGAATTTCCCCGGGATCTCTTTTCCCCTGCCTTCTCCATCAACGGAATCATCAACACCAGAAATTTTTTGTATATATTCCTAGGGAGGATGAGGCGGAAGGTCGCCGGTTATTGACAAACAAGCAACGAAGTCTTTGAGGGTTGCTCTTTAAAAAAAAACTCCTAAAAACAAAATGCAAGCTTCCGTGCCATCTCTTTCGCACACCCCTTATATATAGCCATCCCATTCGCTGGGAATCACGTTTCATGGGTGGTCGCTTTTGACTTGAAATTTGTCTAACTTTACACTTATCGTCGTAATATAGTTATGGATCTGCCACACTGGCGGTTGCATAAATTAGACACAGCCGGACGAACACTCAGGCCATCAAGTGATAAGCTTGCCAAAAAAAAGGGATGGCAATAACAGAAAGAGACAGCTAGACAGAGGGTATAGAGATAAGTGTTTTTAATTTCTTAACCTCAGTGCTATTCATTCTCAAGGAAACATTAAAAACCATGTACTCCCCGACTTTTATTATTCATTATTTTCGCATTCATTTCGGTGATTGTCTTGTCTTCTTTCTTCTTCTTCTTTCTTTGAATTGCATCTGAGAAAGAGATGGCTGTAGGTAGGGCGCTAAATGTGCAAAAAAGAGATGACACGATGGCGTGCCATTAATAGAGCTATCAAGTGCCGTACTGCTGCTGATGACAGTGGCGGAGCTTATCAAGCTGCCAGTTTTGCAGTTTTGCAGTTTAAAACTGCATTTCTCAACACACAAATCACAAATCACTGCGCGGCATGCAATCTCTCACACAAATCATTTCATTTTTGCCCCGACGAAGCCAAGTGTCATTAGCGTCACACGTCCCGATCCCAATCCCGATCTGACATATATGTACCCTCTCTCCCTCTGCTCCTTCTGCTGCTGCTGCTGCTGCTGCCAAGTGTTTATTAGTATGAGGCATTTATCAGCAATTATAATTATACGGCTCTCTCTTCAACGTTCGAGTATGTGTGCCTGGGCTGTGAGCCCTGACGACCTCTCATTTTCGCTGAAACCAGAATCAATGACTACGCCGGAGATAGCAACGTTGTCTTGGACGGGAACACGCAGAGAAAAGCAGATCATCTTTAAGATTCGTAAAAGTCTTTTAGAGATTGAATTTGAG